CCTTCTACATTTTGCTGCATCATCTTAGTCTGGCTTCCATCTTCAAGGTTGCCTCATGGTCCAAAATGGCTGCTTGAGCTCCTACATCAAGTGTCCATTCCAGTCTGAAAGAAGTAGGAAAGGGGAAGTTTACTTCTCAGCTGAGTAGGCTTCCTTTAAGGAGTTTTCTCAGAATCTCCAACCAACAACTTCCACTTACATCTCATTGGCCAACCACAGACCCAGGACCATGTTGAAGTGTGAACAAAGTACTGAGTGAGTTGAGGATGTTCTTAGGCACATCCATAATGCTTGTCAACTAGACAGGACTTCATACTGCATCATTGCTGTTATGAATTTATTATAGTACTGGCAGGGATGGGGAGAGGAGACAGACTGGGAAATATCTTTTAGCTGGACATATTGTCCCAAACAAAATTTTAAGGAATGGAGATTGGCTAGTCAACAAGCAGTCCCTTCCATGTTGTTCAAGAGAAAAGCACATGTTAAAATAAAGAGCTATACCACAAGTCCCAAACTGAAGACCGGAAGGCCAATTTCATCTTGCAAATGTGATTTTAAAAGTTTCAGTAAGTTGCCAATATTTAAAAGTCAGCAAATTTCACATAAAACTTCAGATGTCTGCCTTCTTGTGAAAAATCTAAAAAATTAGCAACATACTAGGCCCACATTCCCAGCTGACATAACTGGCTAGTGATGAGAAGTAGCCTCTCAGGAGGAACATCTGTCTTCTAATTAGACACTGTCTCCAACTTTTCCTGTTGTGTCCCTGGCCTGGTCTGCTCATTTAAGTGACTGTCTTGCCTCCAGTAGGTATTTGTGTTTGCACCCCTGTTATTTTGCCAACCTTTCGATTAGCAGCCAAGTGCTTAACCCACTGCACCATCAGGGCTGCTCCTGTCATTTTACAAATGAACAAATAGTAAGGGTTATAAAGATGAGAAGTATACATAAAATGTGATAGTGGAAGCATTAAATTGTTAGTCTAATAATTCAATAAGTATTTACGTGCTTTCAATGTGGTTAGAGGTATGCCCGAGGCATACTGGAGAGCATACAAGAAGGGCTGGTGAGAAGTCCTTTCCCTCATTGAGTTAATTAAGTATGTGAGCTTGATTTCCTTATTTATAGACTGTGTTAGACTACACGAGCACTGAAATCACTTCCTGCTCTAAAAGTATGTCCTGACTTAGAACTTTGACAGAGAGGCAAGAGATTCATGCAAGGCAAAGTCAAGGAAAGCCTTATGATAGAAAATAATCAAGTACCTTCTGAGGTTCTGTGTGAACACAGGAGGCTAAGTGGAAAGAAGAGAAATCAATGAGGCCAGCCTGTTTCAGTTAAACTCTAAGGAAGGGGCAGGATTCGTGAACAGGCCTTGTAGGGAGGGTTTTGGTGAGCACACTACAAGCCAGAGACAAGGCTGGAGGTGTTTGAGGAGAGTGAAGGTATCAGCCTGTGTTGAGTGCTGGAAGTACTCAAATTGGACCTGGTCCTAAAGGGTTTGGACAATGTCCTGGAGACAAAAAGGAAGTTTTGAAGATTCTGAGTGAGAAGTGGCAGAATGAAAGAAGCATGTTAGGGATTTTTAAGGATGATTCTTTTCTTTGAGGTGGTAATCACTAGAGGAAAAGGTAATGGACTAGACAAAAAGACTAGAAATAGGGACACTAATAGTAAATGGTTGCAAATATCCAGTTATTAATTCATTTCAAAAATATTTGTAAACTGACTATTGCAATAAGTTAAGTCAGGGTATGGTGACTGAAATAAAAATGAATAGAGGCCAAGTTGAGCAATAAAGCAAAGCAAGGCTGCCCAAAATTCCATTAAGTCTAGAAGATAAAGGAAAGACAATAATCATTCCTTAAACAAACCGTTATTGACCATCAGCCACGTGCCAGGCAGTATTCAAAGTTAAACACAGCAGAGTTGTGCTCCCAAGAAGCTCCCAGTTCAGTGAGAGGAAAACACACACAGATGAATGTAGGATATAGTGGTAAACAGTAAGTGAGCTCACACATGAATTCTAAAGTGGACAGAAAAGGCTTCACTACATTTGAGAGGAATCTTGAATGATGCCTAGACAGAGAAAGTGGCTGTGACAAAGACTCTATGGGCAGATAAACCTGCAAATTCTAAAGCAGAGCATCTGATCCCTCTTATTTCAGGGATAAGACCTGCATTTTGGCTTTGTTTTTCAGAATTGATGGTGTTATCAACTCCTTGTCAACTCCAGAGGTGGGTTATGGGTAAGGAAAGGTGGGATAAAATAGATAAGTTGAATGCGGATGGGTGAGAGAAGGTGGAAAAGGGAAGATTTACACTTGGTAGTCTTTACCAAAGGAGCCCTGCTCGTGCAGTGGTTAAGCGCTCAGCTGCTAACCAAAAGGTTGTTGGTTTGAACTCACCAGCACTCAATGGGAAAAAGATGCGGCAGTCTACTTCTTATAAAGATTAAAGCCTTGAAAACCCTGTCGGGCAGTTCTACTCTGTCCTGTAGGGTCACTATGAGTCTGAATTGACTCCTATGGCACATAACAATAAAGTATACTGTGATGGTTAAGATTGTGTGTCAACTTGGCTGGGCCATGATTCTCCGTGTTTAATGTAATCACTCCCATGATTGAATATACTGTGAGTAGCCAATCAGATGAAAGGGAGTCTCCTTGGGGGTGTGGCCCACATTTGTATATAAGTATATGTTCTGGCTTTTTGCTCTCTCTGGATCCTGCGGCTGCTTCCTGTCCTCTCATCTCCCGTTCTTGGGACTTGAGCTGTCAGCTTATCTGCCGAATCTGGGATTCGTTGATCTGCACAGCCTGTGAGTGGGAGCCCTGCTCGCTGACCTGCTGATCTTGGGCTTGCCAGCTTCTGCAGCTGTGTGACTTGGGAGAGGCCTCTACCCTGATCCACGGACTTGGGACGTTCTAGCCGCTACAATCGCGTGAGCTTTTTCCTTGATATAATCTCCCTCTCTATATATATTTACTCACTTTACTGGTTTTGCTTCTCTAGAGAACCCAGCCTAAGACATCTACCAACCCATTTCCTTCTTGAATATTCAAAATGCCAGTGACACCTTAAAAATGGCCACTGTGGCCACCCGCATAGCCAATTTTCTCTCTTTTAGGATAGCAGAGATTGAACCTTGAGCTGGGACCTAAGAGGCCCCAGGAGGTTGGGACTCAGAGGGAGGTGTGTAGGGTGTGGAAGAAAACACTAAGCTGAGGGTGCTTGAGGGTCATACCCATATCTGGGTTGGAGACATAGATAGCTCTTACTGTTCCTACCTCTCTTCCCTTTCAAGTGTATCTAAATTGAAGTGGCCATTTAATACTCATTATTTTTTGCTAGAACCCAATCTTTTGGCAAATCTAAGTAGTTGAAGAGATAGTCAATGTATCTATTTTTATTCTGGGGAACTACCATTTTCCCAGCTGACAGGCACAAAGCCAGTTATCTCCCTGCCACAGTTTCTCCTCATTCTAGTTCATCCTGCATTGCCTTCAGTTATTTTCCTAGAAAACAAATTCTGACCTGTGGAAAAACTGCTGGTTCCCTTTTCCCTGCAGGATCGAGTTTAAACTTCCAGTGAGTGACAAGGCCCTTCAAGGTCTAGCCCCAACCTCCCTCTCTAGCCTTGTCTCCATCTCACACACACACACACACACACACACACACACACACACACTACACTGCAGTTACACCAAACTTCTCATGTCCCATAAGTGAACATAAGGCCTTCCCAGATGTTTTCTGGAAGTTGGCTGGGGCTGAGACTGGAATTTCATACCGGGATATCAGAGTGTGGTTTGGAAGGGGAATATGGGCTTGAGGTTGGCAAGTCCAGTTAGTTTGGTGGACTTCTTGCCCCATAAGCAGGACCAGAGTGGAACCTTTAAAGTGAGTGGCAGGAAGCAGAAGCCCCCCTTGCTGGGGTACAAGGACGATACTGAAAAAATATCAAAGGAAACCAGGAAATACTAAGGGAGGGATGAGGGAGCAACATGAGAGTTTTAAATCTACTGGATGATGAAAAGAGAATGGGCATTGTGGAATTCCAAGGGCTTGGGCCACCGCAGGATTCTCAACTTCCCTATACCTTGGAAAGGAACAAGCAAGTTTTTAAAAGTCCTACTCAATACAAACTTGAAAACCCTACGGAGCAGTTCTACTCTGCACACGAGGTCACGGTGAGTCGGAATTGACTCCACAGCAACCAACAACAATGACAACACGCAGTAGGTATTTTATTACTATTTTAATGGGATAAACATCCTTATGGTTGAAACATAAAAGGTATAATAAAGTCTCCTTCCTCACTAGGGATACAGTTATAATCCCCACTTCATCGGCAGGGAAACTGAAGCCCAAAATGGTAAACCAACTTGTTTGGGCACAGATGTAAGTAGCAAAACTGGTCTTGTCTGACTCCATTTCTACCCCACAGAAATGTCACTGCCTGATAATTAAGTCTTAAAAAAAAAACCGCAAGTGCCTGTAAATGGAGCTGTTAAATAAAGTGTATCTGCCTCACATATCGGGTGGGGTGCAGTTTGTTACCCCCACCCCTCTGGCCCCACAGGGCAGGCCAGGTGTCAGTGCTTCCCAGGTCCAACACAAAGCCGGCTTTCTCTCTCAGGAGCTGATTGCCTGGGCACAAAAGAGATAACCCAACAAAAGATTAGGAGTCCAGGACCGGGAAGGGGGTGCGGAACCTCGGCGGTGGGCCCGAGCATGCAGGCAGGGGTAACCCTGTCACCACCGCTCCCGGCGGACACCGCCTGCCCCTGTCACAGGCCCCCGAAGCTGCTGCTCCAGCGCGTTCCGCCCAAATACGGGTAGACCCGCCAGCAGGTCCTCTACAGGAGGAAACAGTCCAGGCCCCAAAGCCACAAAACCCTGTCGTGCAAAAGAGGCCCACACCAAGCCCCGCCCCCTCGAGCCGCCCCTTCCGCTCGCGCCGGGGTGGGGTCTACGCGGCCGCCGGGATCCGCTAGGACTCGGCCACGTTGTCCTGCGCGCTTAGCGCGCCTGGCCCCGCGAGGCCGGTCGGCTGCGCCCACTTCCCCGCCCCTTGCCTCTCCGCGGGGCTCGGTGGGGCCGCAGTGTCCCGGCGCTCATTCAAGGGATCGCAAAGAGAGGCCCGGCCACTCCGAGGTTCCAGCGCGCAGCGCAACCGCGATCTGGGCCCGGAAGGCGCCGCCCAACTCGCCTCCGGGCGCCGCCAAAAGCAGCGGCTCGTAGGGAGCGCAGTCGAGTGGGGCTCCGCGCAGAGCTCGGCGAAGGGGCCCATGCCCTTGCGCTCCCACGGGCCCGCGCCATGGCATCCGGGAGCGTGGCCGAGTGCCTGCAGCAGGAGACCACCTGCCCCGTGTGCCTGCAGTACTTCGCCGAGCCCATGATGCTCGACTGCGGCCACAACATCTGTTGCGCGTGCCTCGCCCGCTGCTGGGGCGCGGCTGAGACCAACGTGTCGTGCCCGCAGTGCCGGGAGACCTTCCCGCAGCGGCACATGCGGCCCAACCGGCACCTGGCCAACGTGACCCAGCTGGTGAAGCAGTTGCGCACCGAGAGGCCGTCCGGGCCCGGCGGCGAAATGGGCGTGTGCGAGAAACACCGTGAGCCCCTAAAGCTGTACTGCGAGGAAGACCAGATGCCCATTTGCGTAGTGTGCGACCGCTCCCGCGAGCACCGCGGCCACAGCGTGCTGCCGCTCGAGGAGGCGGTGGAGGGCTTCAAGGTGAGGGCCGGGCGCGCGGGTCGGGGAGTGGCCGGGAACCGGAGTCGGACAAAGGGAGGAGAGAGCCAAGGGGGTTTCCTTTTTTCCGCCTAGAAAATGGCTGAGCCGGACGTGTGGTTCACAGCCGTCATTTCCTCTCTGTCCGCTCCAGAGCCTCTGCACTCCGATTTGGGAGAAAAACCTGTAGCTGGTGAGGAAGCCAGAAGTCTCCCCACCCCTACTCTTCTTTCCCTGTTACCTGTGTTTTACCCGCTCACAGACACATGGTGCATAAAGACGGCCCATGGAGCCCCCCCCCCCTCCCCCGACATTCTAAAAGGTATGAGTAAAGCCACATATACATCGACCACCTTCAGAGACACAAGTACTCCTGTGGGCTCTGATCTCAGACAAAACACACCCGGAGGTTAACTGGCTGTACACACATCAAATCAAGCCTTTAAGCATGTCACCAGCACTTCGCTGTGCTCTGGCCTGTTCGAGAAGTCCGTGGAAAAGAACGGAGCTCTTTATTGCTGGAGCAAGTCATTTAACCTCTCTGAGACTTAGGGGGGATAACAACACAGTTATTATGAAGATTAAGTGAAATATGTGTGGAGCCCTTTGTAAGCTGTTGGATCAACAGACTGACACAACTAAACATTAACATGGAAACAAAGTATTAAATATAAAAGAGTTGTAAGGCAACATTCAATGAATGCATGATGCTGTGAACCCTGTATACTTGAGTGCTGCAAGAATACACAATTATGTACATGATAAATGTGAGTACATGAATTAATACATAATTTGTCACTTAACGTTTAGTGTGCTTTCACTTATTTCACTCACCTTCATGGTAACCATTGAGTAGTTTGGGAAGGTGGTGTTTGTTCACCAGTGTTACACATGGGGAAAGTAAGAGAAGTCATTTTCTCAGGATGCCTCTGTGAAGGAGGTACAAGTTGGCTTTAAGCCTCTTAGTCCAGTCATCTTTCCAACGAAACTATGCAGTATCCTTCCAGGGGCAGATAGGTAACCCACTGTTTAAGATGCACACAAACTGATAAAGGAGAGCTTTGGTGGTCCCCTGCACTCTGGGCCTTTCTCCCCATGGTGGCAGTGTGGTCTGAAGACAGGCTCTAATCAAGGTCTTGACATCAGATGTGTAGGTTCCATGTGTGATATGCAGAATAACCATGATGATGCTAAAGTCTGCCAAATCCTGAACTGGCGATTGTCTTCGTTTCCTCAGGAGCAAATCCAGAACCAACTGGACCATCTAAAAAGAGTGAAAGACTTAAAGAAGAGACGGCGGGCACAGGGGGAGCAGGCACGAGCTGAACTCTTGGTAAGGGTCATCGCAATTCATGTATAACATTGCTTCTGGCAGTCAGTCATTCCCTCTTCTGTGGACTGATGTTACTTCTATTATCTTTGTCCAGCCAGATCACCCACAACTGTTAGGTGTAGTTGGGATCTCATTTGGACACCCAGTAGGTAACCAAACCTGTTCCCCACATTTTGGGGAAAGGATGGAGGAACCGAGATGGGAATCCTCAGAGATTCTGACCTTCAAAGAAGGTTTAACCTGCTAGCTTTGTGTAGATCAGCATTGATCTTTGACAAAGCTGAAATAGGTGAAATTCTTGAGCACACTTAGCTTCCTTTCATATCATTCTATAGACAGGAGCTAATAGTGACTTTGAGTAAGCCTCACTGTTGCTTCTTCCTGGGGTGTTCCCATCCTTGACAACTTATTAACTCTGAACTTTTCATTTTGTTCCCTTCCCCCACCCTTCCAAGGCCTAGTGATAGGGATATTTGGGTGTTTTGTTTTGAAAAAGAAAAAAATAGATATATCAAAAAGTACGGAAACTTTTATAACACACACCTGTATATCCACCACCCATGTGTTTTTACTTTTTTTGGGGGGGGGAGGTGGCTTTACTGAACATGTTTTTACTTTTTTCTGAAGAATAATTAAAGTAGTACAAATTTCCTTCCAGTAGAAGTATTTGCATCTGAAAAGCAAACTCCTTGACTAATAAAGTCTACTCCTATCTTGTGAGAATTTTTGTTAACTACTCCTAGCCAGGGCATGGTAAAGCTTTTAGACAGGGAACTCTTTCCCATGGTGCCCTCTGATGCCAGCACTTGCTCTGCCCACACAATCCACTGAGACCTTGGCTCCCCTTAAAAATAGGTCTGATGGATGGAGAATCTTCTCGGTGAGCCTGGATGGACTCAAATGATTACGCATACAACAGTGTCCGCTGTGGAAGGATTGTCAGAGGAGAGAGACAGCCCTTCCCTGAGAATCAGAGTACCTGGACATACTTCCTGGCTCTGACACTAATGAGTTGTATAGATGGAGAGAGTCATACCACTTCTCTGGGCCTCAGTTTTCTCATCTGTGAAATGGGTAGGTTGTACTAGACTGGTGATTCTCAACCAAGGCCAGTGCTGCCCTTTGCTTCCCTCCAAGGGTGTATGGGTGTTTCTTTGGTTGTCACAATTACTGGGTAGGGAAGGGATGCTGATGCTAATTGTCCTGCAATGCAAGGAACCAGTCCTATGCTAGGCAGAATTGTCCCTACCAGGGTGCCAGTAACACTCCTTAGAGAAATTATGAATTTGTTGATCTTTAAGGCCCTTTTCCATCTTTAATTTTATGTTTCTAAGATTGTAATACATGATTTATGTCTTTGGAAGACTTACTCAGCTGAGGAGAGGTATGAGCTTATGAAAATAATTTATAGGCAAAGATGTATGTACATTACCAAGTCGCACAGTGAATGCCTAAGAGGAGTGGTTAGAGGGATGATTAATTGGGGAAGTTTGGGGTCAGTAAACTTTCTGTAAAGTGCCAGAGAGTAAATATTTTGGGCTTTGCAGGCCATAGGACTTTGTCACAACTACTCATCTCTGCTGTTATAGACAATATATAAATGAATGGCTGTGGCTGTGTCCCAATAAAACTTTACTCATCTCCCATGGAGCCAAGTTTGCTGACCCCTTGTTCAGAACAAAACTTTAATAGAGGTACTGAAGTGGGAAGTAGGAATGGAGAAGATAGGACAGACAAGTAGTGGCAAACAAGTCCGCTCCAGGAGAGGAACCACGGAACCCCCCAGAGCCAGTGAGACAGGACAGTTAGTAGACACCCTTGAAGGCCAGATAGAGGGTCCAAGGGAACTGATCAGGGTTATTGTGCAGGGGTGGGTTGGGGGCGGGTGGTGGCTAAACCACCTTGGACAGAGGGATGAAAGACTGGAACTAAGATCAGAATTTTTCTTTCACTTTCAAAGTATCTTCCACAGGGCACATATCTAACGATTCATTTCCCTGTGTGATAACTTTTCTCAGCTCCTAGTTGCTGGGGGAATGAGTCCTTACTCCGTAGCCTGCCTGGAAAGGCAGGATCTGGTCTCTCCTTACCTTCTCTGGTCTCTTCCCTCAGCACCCATGTGTTCCAGCCAGACAGAACCATTTGCCTTCTCTCCATACTCCTATGCCTTTGCTGTTTCTTCTTCCTGGAAGGCCTTCCCACTCATCCACTCACTGCCCATTTGGTGAACTCCTGTTCATCCTCCAAGAGCTTGTGTGAACACTGCCTCTGTTAAGATTTTTCCATATTCTCCCACCCTAGGCTGTCTCCCTATCTTTAATTATATACCCATGATTATTTGTATCACATGAACCTGACTCTCACTTGACTGGGTTCCTTGAGGGCAGGGAGTATGTCTTAGTATATCACTGGGCTAACTCAGTCTGGAGTCCCTGGGTGGTGCAGTTAAAGTGCTTGACAGCTAACTAAAAGGTTGACAGTTTGAGTCCACCTAGAGGCACCTCGAACATATCTACTTCCGAAAAATCAACCATTGAAAATCCTATGGAGCAGTTCTGCTCTGACACACATTAGGTCCCCATGAGTCAGAATCAGTTCAGTGGCAATTGGTTGATTGTTTATTAAACTCAGTCCCTAGCCAGTCTAGATATTCAGTAAAGACTGGAACAAATGAGTGAGTGAATAAGGTGCTTGTTTTAGTGTCGTGGGATGAAATGTGGCCTTGAGGCAGGTGGTCAAGAGAAAACGTGTGTGAAAGCCTCTAGAAGTGAGCGTTTCTTCTCTTCACTGCCCTTCCCTGTCATCTGCATAGAGCCTGACCCAGATGGAGAGGGAGAAAATCGTCTGGGAGTTTGAGCAGCTGTATCACTCATTGAAGGAGCATGAGTATCGCCTTCTGGCCCGCCTTGAGGAGCTGGACTTGGCCATCTACAACAGCATCAACGGTGCCATCACCCAGTTCTCCTGCAACATCTCCCACCTCAGTGGTCTGATTGCCCAGCTGGAAGAGAAGCAGCAGCAGCCCACGCGGGAGCTTCTGCAGGTAAGGCATGGAGCACTTTGCTAAGATGGCTTTCACTAAAATTAGTCTTCGCTCTCCCTTTGCCAAGCAGTATCCAGAACCCCCTGTCACCTTTTTGATTCGGCTGGAGCAGCAAGGACTTGCCAAGCTCTAAATTAGGTATGTGAGAGGGAAAACATGTACACTAGGAACTCAAGTTGATATAACTTGGGTCAGTCAGTTACATTGTCACTTTGAAAGGGCAATTAGAATACCTGATGGCCAGGCCTGCCCTGCCCAGGCCTTGACTTTTCTGGGCCTCAGTGGCTTCATTTGCTCTGTAATGAGGGGATTTGGACCACATGACATTTAAAGTTCCTTCTCACTCCAGCATCCTGTAATTTAACATATATATGCAGAAACCCACTGAATAATAAAGCTAACACTTAACTGTCGTTTTTCAAGCATTGTGCTTACTCTTTGATGTGTGTTACCACAGGCACAAAATAAGCCCTTGCGCACAGGAATGGTCAGTGTGAGCAGACCTGTGCTTAAACCCTGGTGGGAAAAAAAAAAAAAACCCAACCCATTGCCATTGAGTTGATTCCAACTCATAGTGATCCTATAGGACAGTAAAACTGCCCCGTGGAGTTTCCAAGGAGCGCCTGGTGGATTTGAACTGCCAATGTTTTGGTTAACAGTCATAGCACTTAATCACTATACCACCAGGGTAAACCCTAGTAGAGCAGATGATATAGCTGTGGTAGACCTGGGCCAGCAAGACCACAGTAAATTGCTAGTGTCTGTCTTCCATCATTTATATATTCAACACATATTAATTGTCTGATCTGGGACAGACAGTATTTTAGTGAGTGGGATTAAGTGGTGATTAAATTCTCTGAAACTTATGTTCTAATGTGGAGATAAGACATTTAAGAAGTGAACAAACAATTATCACAGGTGTTGATGAATGCCATTAAAAAATGGATAATGGGATAGAGCAGGAGTTAAAGCTAACTGTGGCCTGCCACCTGTTCTTCCATGTCTATAAGCTGCCCTTTGATTGAAAAAAATCAAAAGAAGAATGTTATTTCATGCCATGTGAAAATTATATGAAATTCACATTTTAACATCAGTAGATTTTTTTTCATTGGAACACAGCCATGCTCATTTATTTACTTATTATCTATTATTGCTTTCCTACTACAAAAGCAGAGTAGAGTAATTGCAGCAGAATCTGTATGGCTCTCAAAGCTTGAAATATTTACTGTCTGGCATTTTAAAAAAAACTTTACTGATCCCTGCTTTAGAGTAATAAGAGAAGAGGGACTAGCCTTGAGCCTTAAGGAACACCGATACTTAATTGCCGGAGAGAGAAGGAAAAGAGACAATTGATCAGAGAGGCAGAATGTGACCAAGAGAAGAGAATGTTCAGGAAGGAGAGTGGACAACAGTAATGTAGCTGAGGTCAAATAATATGAGAGCCGATAACCTTGGGTTTAAAAACATGGTCATCATTGGCGACCTTATCTAGAGCTGCCACAGTGAAACAACGCAGGCAGGAGCGACTTTAGAGAGAGTGGTGACTGTGTGGGGTAAATGGGAACTATAAGAGTAGATGACTATTTCAAAAAGTTATGACTGAAAGGATGTCATAAGTATTTAAGAAAACAGTTAAGTGATGAAGTAGGATTAACAGGGCTTTATAGGGAGGAGGTGCTTGAAGAAACTAATTAAACATTCTACAAGTTACGTGTGGCTAGGAAAGCCTATGGTGTAAGGATCCAGGTGAGGAAAGACATTGAAGTTACAAAAAATGACAAGTTAATCAGTAATGTGCTGTTTCTGAGAAGGCAGGAGGGGACGGGAACTAAAGTTCATGTGCAGGAATTAGTTTCGGAAGGTCCTCTGTTATATATAAAGAAAGACAGGTGGAAGAGGCGGTAGAGGCACATTTTGTAATAGAAACCTGGTGGCTTTTATTTTCCTTTAAATATGGAAAGCAAGATCATCTGCCATTGAGCAGAGGTTTGGGAAAATGGGAGTTTTAATGAATGTGGTAAAGCTCTGAAATTGTTTCAGTGTCCGGAAAGCCAGTTGGTCTGTGAACCTTTGTAGAATTGCTTGATCAGTGTTCATGAGTTTATAGTGGGAACAGTCTGCCTTGTGTGACTTTCTCGGCTGCTTTGCTTTCTCAGACCTTGACTTCTCTGGTGCAGGCACAGGGATAACAGTTGGGCTTATCCAGGTTTGGGGGTTTGCAAGATGGACTGGAGGTTTTAAGATGTTTTCTTTTAAGGCAGAAGTTATTTGTGAGAATATTTTTGAAATGATGGACTATAAAATTGAAGCTGGATGATAAGGGAAGTGGAGAAAAGAAAGAAAGGCCAGTGGACTCCATGGGTGTGTGTGTTGCGGGGGGGAGGTCTTGATGATATCAAAGAGTGTTTATGGTGGAAGTCATTAGGAAAGCAAGCTGAATCTTACTTAATGGGTAAAACTAAAGGCATTCCCACTGAGGTTAGGAACAAGGCAAGATGGCCACTATGTCTGCCTCTATTTAGCATTGAACTGGAGGTATTAACCAATGCAGCTGGACAAGAGAAAGTGATTAGAGGTGCAAGAATTGGAAAATAAGTTAAAACTATTTATTTTCAGATGCTGTGACTGTATACCTTTAATTAGAGACTCAGGGCTAAAACTAAAGAATTCAGCAATGTGTCAGGATGTAAAATTAGCATACAGAAATCACTAGCCTTCATATGCAAGATAACAACCATTAGAAGATACATTAAAAGAGAAAACTAGTTCCAATTGTAAAAAAAGATAAAATACCTATGAATAAAAGTATAAGAAATGTACAACTTATGAGGACAAAATTATAAAACACTCCTGAAAGAGATAAAATAGGCTTGAACAAATGAAAAGATATCCTTTGTTCTTGGATATGACATCTCAACATCATCAAGTTGACAGTTTCTGTAAGTTAATATATAAAATTAATGTGCTCCACAAAAGATACCAACACGCTTTTTTTCTGGAGCGGACCAATTGATAGTGAAGTTCAGGTAGAAATATAAGCTCATAAAAATAGCTAAGAAACAGAAGAAAGAAGAGCTATGATGGGGAACTAGCCCTCTTAAATATTAAAACATACTACAAAGCCTAAGGAATTAAAAGTGAGTAATAATGTGGAAACACACACACACAGAGCAACCAGTCAAAAGACCTGTGAAAAATTGAAAGAAAATATTTGCAGCAAATGTGACAGAAATAATAGCCCTACTACATGGGGTGGCTGTGAGTTGGAATCCACTTGACAGCCCAACAACAACTACTACCACTACCAATTGCTGTTGAGTTGATGCCAACTCATGGTGACCACTTGTGGGTCAGAGAGAGTAGAACTGTGCTCCATAGGGTTTTGAATGGCTGATTTTTCAGAGGTGGATCACCAGGCCTTTCTTCCAAAGTGCCTCTGGGTGGGCTCAAACCAATAATCTCTTGGTTAGCAGCCTAGCACTTTAGCCATTTGCACCATGAAGGGACTCCGTAAGAATAAGGAACTTTTAAAAACTGAGGTGAAAGGACAAAATTCTATTAGAAACAGGCAAATACAAAGGCAAGTTGCAGAAGAAATATGGAAATGGTTCTGAACATAGGAAAAAAGTTCATCCGCACTTGTAATAAGAGAAATGCAGATTAGAACCATACTAAGATACCCTTTCTTACCAATTAGAATGGCAAAAAAATTTAAACTTAATAATAGTTCTTTTTTTTTTTTTTTTTTTTACCATTTTCTTGGCAAAGATGTAGTGGGGGAGAGACCCTCTTATCTGGTGGGAATGCAAAGTAGTATAGCCCTTTTTGGAAGTAGATTGCCAAGCCTTTCTTCGGAGGTGCCTCTGGTTGGATTCAAACCACCAAACTTTCAGTTAGTAGCCAAACACTTAAGTTTTTGTGCCACCCAGGTTCATGTATGCGTGTGTGTGTGTGCATACGTGTGTATATGTGTTTATATAGATGTATATGTATATTTAAGGAGCCCTGGTGGCGCAGTGGTTAAGAGCTCAGCTGCTAACTGAAAGTTTGGCAGTTCAAACCTGCCAGCCGTTCTGTGGGAGAAAGCTGTGACAGCCTGTTTCCATAAAGATTACAGCCTTAGAAACCCTGTGGGGCAGTTCTACTCTGTCCTATAGGGTTTGAGTTTAAGTTCTTAAGCGCAGTGGTGGCGCAGTGATTAAGATCTCGGCTGCTAACTGAAAGGTCAGCAGTTTGAATCCACCAGCCGCTCCTTAGAAACCCTACGGTGCAGTTCTGTTCTGTCCTGTAGGGTCGCTATGAGTTGGAATCTGCTCGACAGCTGTGGATTTTTGGAGGTATGGACATAGTACTTTTGAAACTATTTTTCTAGGTATATTAAAGGATTGAGAAAATGAGTAAATCTAGTGACATATAAATATGGAATAGGGAAAGGCAAAAAGGATTGGATTGGAATTGGAGATAGCATAAACTCATGAGTTCCTAGCTGTCTGTCCACTGAAAAGGATTAGAAGTAATGACATCCCATAGCAGTGATCACAACTAGTGCCCAGATTGTGGTTTTGAAATACCATTCCCCACCAAAAGGAACCAGGACTCCTTAGATTAGAAAAATGATGAGGGCTTATCAAAAGGACATAGAAACCAGTTTGAAGGGACTCCCTCTGGCCAAGACTCAGACTTTTTGAGCACCAAAATAATGGATTATAATTCATTGAATAAAATAGAAACCTATGAGTTCATACTAAGTAGATATATAACCAATTGCTGTCAAGTTGATTCCAACTCACGGTGACCCCGTATGTGTCATAGTAGAGCTGTGCTCCATAGGGCTTTCAATGATTGATGTTTTGAAAGTAGATCACCAAGACTTTCTTCAGAGGTCCCTCTGGGTGGACTTGAACCTCCAGCCTTTCAGTTAACAGCAAAGCACGTTAACTGATTGCACAACCCAGGGAGAGCAGATCCTTCCAGTAGAATGTCAACTAATTTATGTAGAGGGAATTTTGGAGTTAGGAAATCACCATTTGGCAGCTATCAGGTAAAAAATTCAGACAAGAATTATCGACGGATGCTAGATCTAGGGGAGGAAAGTTTAATGAGGATTGAGATATTTATGTAATTTCAAAGTATCACTTAAATGTTGTGTAATTGTTAGGTGGCGTCAAGTTGGTTCCGACTCTAGCAACCCTATGTATTACAGAATGAAACACTGCCTGGTCCTGTGCCATCTTCACAATTGTCATGCTTGAGCCCATTGTTGCAGCCACCATGTCAGTCGGTCTCATTGAGGGTCTTCCTCTTTTTCGCTGACCCTCTACCTAGCATGGTATCCTTCTCCAGGGACTGGTCCCCCCTGATAACATGTCTGTCAGTTGTATCCCCCTGCTGTCGTCGAGTCTGTTCCGACTCATAGCGACCCTATAGCACAGGATAGAACTGCCCCATAGGGTTTCTGAGGAGTGGCTGGTGGACTCGAACTACTTACCTTTTGGTTAGCAGCCAAGCTAACACCACCAGGGCCTGATAACTTATATATTACTTATTAATTACAAAAGGAAAAACAGTAACTGTGCAGTGATTAAAATCAACATCATAAGGGGCAAGTGAATATCATGTACCTTTAGAAGGACACAACATAAAAACCAGTCAAAGATGGTACAACCTGAATTTAATCATGAGGAAAATATCAGACAAACCCAGATTAAAGGACATTTTATAAAATAACTGGCCTGTATTATTTAACATGTCAATGTCATGAAAGACAAAGTGGAAGAACTGTTCCAGATTAAAGATACATGTCATGATAATTAAATGCAGTGAATGATCCTGGATTACCTTGCAGGGAGAGGGGAAGGAAAGATTGTTGTAAATAACAGCAATACAGTTGATTAAGTTAGAATATGGACTGTGGATATGATAAACATATCAGTGTTAAATTTCCTGAATTTAGCAACTATACTGTGGTTATAAGAGCCCTGGTGGTACAACAGTTAAGCGCTTGGCTATTTACAGAAAGGTTGTCAATTTGAACCCACCCAGCATCTCTGAGGGAGAAAAGACCTGTCAGTCTGCTCCCATTAAGGTTACAGCCTAGAAAATCCTTTGGGGCAGTTTCTACTCTGTCACATGGGATCATTATGAGTTGGAATCGACTCGATGGCACCTAACAACGACTGTAGTTATGTGTAAAAAAAAAAAAAATTATTGTTCCTAGGAAGTACACACTAAAGTATAAAGGGATAAGGGGACATGATGTAAACAATATACTTTCAAGTGGTTCTAAAGGAAAATATAGCTTAAAATATATATAGAGAGGGTGGGGGTGGGGAAGAGAGAATGATAAAGGAAACATGGTAAACCATTAAAAATTAGTAAATCTGGGCAAAAAGTATATAGGAGTTTTTTGCACTAGCAGCTTTTCTGTCAATTTGAAATTATTTCACAGTAAAAAAATCAAAGTAAGCTGGACAGGTAGGCAGTTGTTATACAAGGGTAAGATGCTTGAATTAGTAAATTTGAAATGATGATATCTCTTGAGCAGTGGATGGTGGGTGCAGAAGGAGGGCATAGGAGATGCTGGTATAGCAATAATGTGCGTTCTAGTCTCCTCTGCCTGATTTTCAGCTGCTCGAGACCATGAGTTATATTCCAGTTTCCTTGTCTCCCTGGCCTCTCCCCAGAGAACCAGCCCATAGTTGGGTTTTCAACAAACATTTGTTAGAGAAAACTGAAATGTTGAATGACTTCTCATGGTTATCTTTCTTCTTTCCCTTGTAGGACATCGGGGACACATTGAGCAGGTATGGTGTCTTCTCTCCCTAGTGTTAAGTCGAGCACAGGAAGACCCCTCAGACTCTAGTACCTTGTGATACTAAGAATTGGGTTTGGCTATGAGAGAGGAAACCCAAAGTTTCATTGGCTTAAATGCTTAAATATAATAAACATTTTTGTCACCATATAAAAAATAGGTAACCCAAGGCTAGTATGATGGCTCCAGTGGTTCCTTCTGCCATTCCTAAGGCATGGTCCTCGTTCTCATCTTCTAAGATGGCTGCTAAAATGCCAACCAGCAGAAGAGAGATAAGAATCACATCACCTTCCTTTTTAATCAGACTTCTCAAATTACCACAAATACAGTCACAAGGTTACACCTAGCTGCAAGGGAGACTGGGCATCCATGAGCCTAGTGAAATTTGAAGGTGAGAGAACGGATATTAGGTTGGAAACTAGCAGTCTTTGCCATGCTTAGACGTGGGATAACAGGGTATTCTCCAAGAGTACCTAACTGAAGGTGTTGTTCTATCCATATGTGAGAACCTGAGGTTTCTGGATAGTTGCCCACCGTGAATAACAAGGACTTTGTCATGAAATCAGTGCTTCCTGGGAAGATCAACCTAATCAATTTAATTTATAAATCATTTTTGAGGACTTGCTATTTGCAAAGCTGTGAGCTAGGTGCCTTCGATACCAAAATGAGTCAGATGTCACCTCTGTTCTGATCTAGACGATCACAGTCTAGGAGGAGAATGTCGGAAAAAGTGTAATAGCTGATTTTAAAGACTGTCCACATACTTAGTCCAGACTGTCCTGGCCTCGTGGAATTGGGGAAGGGATTCACTCAAGTTTTTTTTTTTTAATTTAGGGCTGAAAGAATCAGGATCCCTGAACCCTGGATCACACCTCCAGATCTGCAAGAGAAAATCCATATTTTTGCCCAAAAATGTCTGTTCCTGACCGAGAGTCTGAAGCAGTTCACAGGTAATGTGAGGAGAGGCATCATGAGGGGAAATGGATTTATGGTCTGAACATCTGTTTATTGCTTGAAAGGATATACTTTCCAGCCAGGGAGTGGGGTGCAAACTGAATATCTTCTCCTTTTCTCCCCTTAGAAAAAATGCAGTCAGATATGGAGAAAATCCAAGGTAAGTGTATCTACTTAATGGGCTTTTGATGTTCACATTTCCTGGGAAGAAGAGCATCTGCATTAAAGGTGTGGGAAAATGAGAGAAGAGACAAACCCGCTGGCCAGCCTGCTCAGATTTTCTATATCATCCTTTTTGTCTTGTTAGCTTTTTTCAGTTAATAGCCTCTTGTTTCAACTTAAAGTCTGTTTACTGTATTCAGTCAGGTCTTGATTAATGTACCTTGATGGAGGAGAGAAATAGGCAATTCAAAATTTAATTAATCCAGAATTAATTTAATAACTTTCAGGTTTTGTTTTTGTTTTTAATTGGGAAAGAGAATGAAAAGAAACTCTACCCTACTTATGTTTCCTTTGAGCCAATATTTAAGGTTAATTTACTAAGTTCCTGCTCCTTTGAGCACAGGTGCTGACAGGAGAGGACTGAGGGGGCACAAGGAGAAGGTGGTTAGGAGCAGGGATTCCAGGTTCTGGGCCCAGCTGTGCCACTTACTAAGGATTCTCCGCCATAATTTTCCCATCTGTAAAATAAGGAAAATAATAGTTCTTACCTCATAAAGTTGTAAGGAATAATTAGTTACCATTTCTAAAGCCTTTAGAATGGAGCCTAACACATACTAAACATTATATTTATGTTTAATAAATAAAGCGTTCTAGGCATTTGGGGGAAGCTTTTTCCAGATCTAAAATTTTGTGCTCATGAACCACACACACATAGAAATTGGCTATATACTGAATGCTAAAATTCTTAGGCAGTCTGATATCCTTATATGTAGGTAAACCCTTTACTTATGTATTATAAATTACAATTCCCCATAGTCATTGATGATTTCCCAGGATCCATTAATTGTACCATATCATGTAGGCTGAATCCTTATTTGTATGGCATCGCCCCAGATATACCCTTTTTTGGCATCTAACAACATAGATTCAGGTGGCACCCCCATGTCCTCCACCAACAAGATGAACAGGAAGAACCTCCACTTAATACAGCAGGTATTACCAGAAATGGTTAGTTCAGGCAGGAGTTTCCTTGATCTGGTTCTCATTTACTTCTACTCTTCTCCCACTTAAAAGACTCAGTGAGAACATATCTGTGAAGATGCTTTGTCAACTGTAAAATACTTTATAAATGAATGGTCTTTGTTTGCCCCAGAGTAACCCTGTGGGTGTGACTGGAGCCACCGAGCCCCTGACACAGAGGTGGCTTATGAAAGCTAAGAGTTCTGTGCATCATGGGCTCGGAACCATGTTTCCTCTTGCAGATCCAGCTGGCCCCCACTGGAGGCTGGAATCCTTGATCTTCGCTTGGTTTGACTCCATATTCTACCAGTCTCACACATGTGGTTATCCATCTATCCAAGGTTTCCAGTCCCACTTGTCTTGAAGCTCTTGGCTGGATGATGGAGTCATACATTGTATGAAAAAATCAATGCATGACTGACAAGGAGTGTTCTAGGGTTCCTCATGGAGAACACTGCTTTATGATAACTTTAACCAAAACTCCCTCAACTTATGTGTTTCTGGGAAATTCTCGTATGCCTTCTGTAAACTTGTTTTCTCTTTTGTTCTTTCAGAATTGAGAGAAGCTCAATTATACTCAGGTAGGCGATGGGATACAAAACGATATCAGAGAAAAGAAGTAAAATCCTTATGAACATTACTATTGTGAATAATTTTGGAAACTGCCTAAATTTGGATCCTGTAGTTTACATAGGAGCCTGGGTGGCGCAGTGGTTAAGTGCTTGGCTGCTATCCGTAAGGTGGTGGTTCAGACTCATCAGCTACTCTGTGGGAGAAGGATGTGGCAGTCTCCTTCTGTAAAGATTTACAGCCTTGGACACTCTGTGGGGGCAGTTCTACTCTGTACTATATGGTCGTTATGAGTCGGAATCGACTCAACAGCAGTGGGTTTGGTTTTTTGGGTTTTAGGTTACATGTGTAAAAATTATAAACAACAACAAAACCACTGGTTGTTTCTGTGTCTTCAATATCTTTGCCTCACGAAATGCTTAAGAGCTGAAACCCACGGACATTTGGAAATCAAGCTCAGTTGCTGTGAAGGATTACAGAGTGGAAACTGTAGTTCCCAAAAAGTAGAGGCTGCTGCTATGCTGGTATACTGGTCTGCCTGCCCAGCCTCAGGTTACTTGTAGTTTGGGAAAAACAGTCATCTTTCCAAAAAGAGTGATTGAGCTCAGCTGTCATTCTGAGTGCTACAGAGAGTCTAGGAATCTTGTGTCTCCCGTCTTCACTACACTTGGGGCAAGAATTGATATTCCTCCTCCCCTACTACCACCTTCACCCTGAGGTTCAGAGAGACTAGGCAGCATCTATGATCCCAGAGGTACTCAAACCAGAGGTGTGTGGTTTCGTAGTCACAGCCACCTCCTGCTACGTGGAATCTTCTTCACGAAGAGAGGGACTCTCTACAATAGGTCTTCATTCACTGGTGTCCACCAACTGTGATTATATCTAATTCTTTCAGCAAATATTAATTGTGTTGACACTGTGCCAGGTACCATAGGGGGAACATAAGACACTGTCCTACCTTTGGAGGTATGAGGTATAGCCACAACACAAGAAAGAAATGGGTGACAGTTATGGACAGATTACTGAACCAGGAACTGAGCATCTGGGATACTTGGTCATCTCCACCAGTTGTCTCTCATGAACATTTTGTTGGGGAGTCTGTGAACCTACCTGAGCTTTGGTGCTGACAGTTAAGAGAGAGTCTTTCTCCTGAACAAGCATGTTGTGAGGAGCAAATGGGACAATATATATCAGTCCTTTTAAAGCAGGAAAGTACCACATGACTGTGAAATGCTGTAATCCTAAATACCAGAGTAGATGACACAGATGATGCACAGTTTTGGATTTAAGGAAAGGGAAAATGATACAGTTTGGGCTGATGAAGAAAAGCTTTGGGCAAGATGTGGGTCTTGTACTGGACATTAGAAAATGAGTAGGATCTGGATGTGCAGACTAAAGATTCCACAGCATGGGGAACATAAAAGAGGAATTTGAGAGGTGGGCAAATTGCTACAGATTCTCAAACCCTTATCTACAATTTCAAAATTCTAAAACTGAAAGCCAAAAGCTTTTTTGTGGTAGCATGAAATGTAGCATGGTAGCAAAACTTGAACTTTGTGGGACTGTTTAGAATTTCTGTCCCACATAATGTGAACATTCATATATTTTACAGCAGCTCTAATAATATTTGATTATAGAGTGCCCCATCAGATTCTGCTAGTGTAAGGACCACATTGCCTTTCTGAACTCTGTAATATTTTGAGTTCTGTAAAACTTCTGACTCCTGAGGCTTTCAGATTAAGAGATGATGGACATGTAAGAAAACCTCAAATTCAGTTTATCATGGATATTTTGATTTAAGATGTGAAAGAAAGTGAATACAATTTCTGTACTTTCAAAATATCCTGACTAAAAAAGGTAACCAGCTAATCCAAACAGTAACCTTTGAAATGTCGACTTCAGGATGTATTTCTTCCTAAGATGAATGTAGCCTATAGTGGGGAGCTCGTATTCTCTTCTTAGGGAGGTAGGAGAAAGACTGGATGTTCCAGAGTGGGCTCTCCTGGCCCGCAAGACTGACCTTCCCCTGTTTGTCTCTACAGTGGATGTGACTCTGGACCCAGACACAGCCTACCCCAGCCTGATCCTCTCCGATAATCTACGGCAAGTGCGGTACAGTTACCTCCAGCAGGACCTGCCTGACAATCCTGAGCGATTCAATCTCTTCCCCTGTGTCTTGGGCTCTCCGTGCTTCATCGCTGGGAGACATTATTGGGAGGTAGAGGTGGGAGATAAGGCCAAGTGGACCATAGGTGTCTGTGAAGACTCTGTATGCAGAAAAGGTGGAGTAACCTCAGCCCCCCAGAATGGATTCTGGGCAGTGTCATTGTGGTATGGGAAAGAATACTGGGCTCTTACCTCCCCAATGACTGCCCTCCCCCTACGGACCCCTCTCCAGCGGGTGGGGATTTTTTTGGACTATGATGCTGGCGAGGTCTCCTTCTACAACGTGACAGAGAGGTGTCACACCTTTACTTTCTCTCATGCTACCTTCTGTGGGCCTGTCCGGCCCTACTTCAGTCTGAGTTACTCGGGAGGGAAGAGCGCAGCCCCTCTGATCATCTGCCCCATGAGTGGGATCGATGGGTTTTCTGGCCATGTTGGGAATCATGGTCATTCCATGGAGACGTCGTCCCCTTGAGAGGAGATGAACTCAGGCCAAAATGACTGTTGGCCATACTCCTATCCCAGGCACATGGCATCTCATTGCCTTGCCACTTCTTATCCATCATGGCTGGATATCCTTACCACTTTCCATGCCCTTGCAGTGGAAGACGGGATGTCCATGTTCTCGACCGTCCTTTCCCATTCCAGGCAAATTGTAATGAGATGTGTCAAGATTGCCCAGAAATAAAAACCAGATGTCCACCTCCAGTGTTTCACACTTTTTGGTTTTACACATTACTGGAGGGAATAAAGAATATGGATAATCTTTGGATTTGGAGAGCCATTCCAGATAGTTAACTCTTCTTGGCTCAGCCTGGCTTCCTCTGGTTCCACCCCGCATAGTGGTCACGGGTATTTGCTGACATTTTTGGACTAGGGCTCCTTTCCAAGAACCTTGAGTGGACCTATGAAGCCCTGTCATCATGACTCTTATGTCCCAGTTTTTCCTTCTGGGAATAGTACCTCTATCTCTGATTTAAAGAGGTGTGTGTGTGTTTTGGTTAGTTACAATTATTTTACAATAATGGTAGGAAAAGGCCCCACCTCTGTTATAGAGATAATGTTCTAATTAACATGCTCTTTACCTCTGTCTTTTCTGAGGGCTTTGTCTGCTCCCTTCATTCTAATGAAAAATGCATTCTGGTGCTGGGTACACATCATCCAAGATGATTTTCTGCCCAGCATCATCCATTGTTCCTTGATCCCCTCCTTATCACATTTGTGGACTGGTGGCCAGTCACACACTATCTCTGGAAGGATTCTGGTCAATATTCCAGGGATCCATCAACTTCTGCCTCCTTTTTTCCATCTCCTTTAGGAGATGGGGGAATTGGTCTTTCTAATATGTGTACCATCAAGGGGCAGCTCCATCCTCGTGGCCATTGGATCACAAAGTGTTCCAGGGTCAGGAGGCTAAGACGGAGCACTTTGAGCAAGCCCCCATGATGTTTCTTAGCTCTGCTTTTCTTTGGGTACTTGCCCCTCAGTTTGAAAATAAAGTGAGTATGGATATTGTTTACATTGTTGTTGTTTCCCCGGTCTTGATAGGATTGGGTTTATAGATATTCTAGTGAGATGAAAGAGGGTCATGGGAGACAAAATGATTAGTGGTGATGATTTCCCTTATGGATCCAGAATCCCCTTCTGACCAACATTTTACTTCCAAATGAACAGTATACTTTCTCAGTACCATCTCACTACTGAGAAGGTAGTGTTGGACATCTGCAGCCTGTAGCTGTATATTGGTTTATGCTGTAACTTCACTAGGAAAGTGTAGTCTCAAGTCCTTTTTGTAGTTGGCAGTGGGGTAATGCAGCAATGCTTGGCATAGATCAGAAGATCCAGAGCTGTGCCTCCCAACCTAGAACCACCAGCCCAAGCCCTTGGGGGTCCTGAGGTGACCACACACTGAGGCGAAAAGATTAGACTAGAGAACAGCTCTAAACCCAGGAATTTGGATCTTTTCCTCTTTTGGACATGGCCTCAGAAGACAAAATTCTATGGACTACAATTGCTCCTATACCAGGCATCAAGGAAGAGTTCCATGCCTGAAGGTCATGAGTTGGTGATATGTCCTGCTTGATTCATTTATTCATCAAGTTTTAAGGGAGCTAATATAACCAGGTGGTATAGAGAGGTGCTTCCATGAGGCTAGATTAGCTTTTGCTGAAAGCCATTGCTGTCGAGTCAATTCCTACTCATAGCGACCTTATAGGACAGAGTACAGCTGCCCCATAGAGCTTCTAAGGAGTGGCTGATAGATTCAAACCACTGACCTTTTGGTTAGCAGCTGAGCTTTTAACCACTTTGCCACCATGGCTCCAGCTTTTGCTGAATACTCTGATGTGTGGGGGTGTGTGTGTGTGTGTATGTAATATATGTACACACATGGATGTTTATGTATGTACACATATATGAATGTATATATGTGCATTTATATTTATATGTAAAATACTATTATCACACACAAAGAGCTGTGCTTGGCACATAGTACAAAGTGCCCTATGCACAATAATTTATTTAATCCTCATAACAACCCTATGAAGGAGATACAATTACCTTCATTTTACAGATGAAACTGAAACACCAAAAGCCCAAACCCCTTGCCATCAAGTCAATTCCAACTCATAGTGACCCTATAGGACAGAGTAGAACTGCCCCATAGAGTTTCCAAGGAGTGCCTGGCGAATTCAAACTGCTGACCTTTTGGTTAGCAGCCGCAGCACTGAACCACTACGCCACCAGGCTTTCCAGCGGAAACATAGAGGGTAAGTGGCTTGTCCAAGGTGTACAGCTAAGAAGCAACAGAGCCAGGATTCAAACTGAGGCAGAACACATAACCAGATACATCAAATCCTGTCCCACAATATATATACATCATGTTTTTCTTCATGAGTGGGGCAGAGCAGAGATTGGAAGCCTTGGAATGCCAGTCCGTTTACTTGGAATGCCTGTCTTACAGCAGTGACTGTGTCTACTCTAGACTTTAGGATCTGCAACTGGAAAAATTGCATTACACTTTTTCCTAATTAAGTCCACTGAGGCAGGGAGGAAGAATAAAGGCCTACAAAAAGGACACCTTGTCACAGCGATAAAGAAGAGCTATGAATTCGTGAAACATCTTATAACATGGAGGAATCTAGAGGACATTATGCTGAGTGAATTTAGTCAGTCATAGAAGGACAAATACTGTATAAGACCACTATTATAAGAACTCAAGAAAAGGTTTAAACACAGAAGAAAACATTCTTTGATGGTTACGAGGGTGGGGAGGGAGGGTAAGGGTTATTCACTAACTAGATAGTAGACAATTATGTGAAGGCAAGGACAGCACACACTACAGGGGAAGTCAGCACAACTGGACTAAACCAAAGCTAAGTTTCCTGAATACAATCAAACACTCGAGGGACAGAGTAGCAGGCAGGGAGGGTCTGGGGACCATGCTTTCAGGGGACATCTAGGTCAATTGGCACAACAAAGTTTATTAAGAAAGTGTTCTGCATCCTACTTTGTTGAGTGGCATCTGGGGTCTTAAAGGCTAGTGAGCGGCCATCTAAGATGCATGAATTGGTCCCAACCCACCTGGGGTAAAGGAGAATGAAGAACACCAAACAGACAGGAAAGTATTAGCCCAAGAGACAGAAAGGGCCACATAAGCCAGAGACTGCATCATCCTGAGACCAGAAGAACTGGATGGTGCCCAGCTACCACCAATGACCACCCTGACAGGGAACACAACACACAGTCCCTCGTGGAACAGGAGAAAGGTGCAGTGCAGAACTCAGATTCTAGTAAAAAGACCAGACTTAATGGTCTGACTGAGACTGGAGGAACCCCAGAAAGCATGGCCCCTGGACTCTCTGTCAACCCAGAACTAAAACCATTCCAGAGGCCAACTCTTCAGACAAAGATTAAACTGGACTATGGGACATAAAATGATACTTGTGAAGAGTGTGCTTCTTAGCTCAAGTAGATACATGAGACTAAATGGGCAGCTTCTGTCCAGCGGTGAGATGACAAGGCAGAGAGGGTCAGGAGCTGGCTGAATGGACAGGGGAAGTCGGGTGGAAGGGAAGAGTGTGCTGTCACAGCATAGGGAGAGCAATTAGGGTCACATAACAATGTATGTATAAATTTTTGTATGAGAGACTAACTTGAATTGTAAACTTTCACTTGAAGTACAACAATAAAATAAATAAATTTTTATTTAAAAAGGACACCTTGTACCAGTCTAAGCAGAGGAGCCCTGGGCTCCTGGTCCTTGCTGCCTGAGTGATGGGGCTGTCTCCAGGTTAACTTAGAGGATCATGCACTGAGTCTGCTTTATCCTCAGTAGACCCAGTGCTTTAGGAACGGTATTTTGCATTTTTATTACAAGCAGCAGCTGGAGCAGTGATAACCAACCTTGGAGTCAACAAAGATACTTCTGATTTGCATGAGGATATAGCTACAAGAATGAATCTTACTAACATTATGCTGAGTGAAAAATAAGTCTCAGAAGACTGTATACCATGTGATACCCTTTTTATATAAACAAAAGGATTGTAGTTACCTATGGGGCAAGGAGTCCCTCGGTAGCAAAGAGAGTTAAGCGCTCAATTACTGTCTGGAAGGTTGGTGGTTCGAACCCACCTTGAGGTGTCTCAGAAGACAGGCCTGGCGATCTGCTTTCGAAAGGTCACGGCCTTGAAAACCCTATGGAGCATTTCTACTCTGCACACATGGGGTCACCGTGAGTCAGAATTGACTCAACTGGCAACTAACAATGGGGCAAGGTGGGAGGATGGGATATAGAAAGAAGGCATAGGTTGATGTGAGTTATTATCTTCTGGTTTTTGTGTTGGATGGTAGATTCTCAGGTATTTATTATATTTAAAATTTTAATTAAAAAATAAAAGCTGCTATTTTCAATGTGGTTAAATGCAACTTTTAAATGATTCTAAATTTGTTTATCTGAAGTAAGCAACCTTTGAATTAATTGAATTAGAATTAAGGCCCTTAAAGGCAGACATGGGGCTTGTTAGGATTCTTGTGACTTCTCTCCATTCTTCCCTCGTAACATATGAAGTTGTTAATTCTACATCAAGGCTTCAACATCTCCTCATTCCTTAATTCCTTTGCTACCTAAGTAAAATACTCTGTGTGTGCGTGTGTCTTAAGCTGCTCTTGTTTCTTCCTGAGATGAACCCCTATATGCAGAGAAGAGCATCTTCCCCAAGAGGTTCAGAGAGTAATAAAGGGAAACTGACTTGACACCTGCCCTCCATAATGTACTATTAAGTAAGGAGATGAGACAATACAGACGATAATTCACTAACACTAAAAGGCACTATGAAATTCAGAACAAGTGGCTGTCAGGTGGTAAGTGAAAAGAAACCATACATTTCCCAGCAAAATAAAAAAATTCAAAAGATTCTTAGTGTACCAATGGTGAGTGAGCTGCCCCTTCACAAACAAAAGACAATAATTCTTTGATTCAAAGAAATAGTTAACCACTGTTGGGTGACCCAACTGAACTTGACTCCTAAGGAGAATACAAGAGAACATGGCTCTCTCCTTGGTAAAGTTAACAAAGTCAATTAGGGGGAAAAATAACGTGAACAATAATTGGAGAACAGCAAAAGACTCATGGGTAAGTAAAACATGTACTACAGGAGACCCCATGGGGACCACAGTGGTCTGAGGAAGCTGAAATCCTAGGTCTACAT